GTAATAAAAGGCGAGGTTAATAGTTAACTTAAAGATAATAGTAATACGTTAGTCTTATAATATCGAGTTCTTAAGTAAAGAGTCTATTTTATATAAGGTAGCTATAAAGACTTTATTATCTAATTTACGTTTATATATTATATAAAATATAGCCGCGCTTATAATATACACCTTTAAACTAACTGACTTTAATATATTATATAATATATTAGTAATATTATCTCTATATTAACTAGTGTAATTATTAAAGAAACATCTTATTTAAGAGAAAGACAAGGCTTTTATAGACGTAGGCATAAGTATAATATTAGTTAGCTCTTACTATATTTAGTAAAAGGAAGCTATAAGAGAAAAGGCGTGATTTATAGATATTAACTTTAAAAGAGTTATATTTAATATATTTAAATCTAAAAAGGAAGCTATAAGTAAAGTAGTATAATTTATAGATATATTTATAAAAGGGACGTGATTTCTGAAAGAAGCGAGGGAGAGAGGATTAGTAATCGCCTCTTTTAAGAGGTATATAAAAGCGTCTTCTCTCTTTTTTATCTTTTTCCTTTATAACTTACCTAAGCTTAAAGCTAAACTATAATAAATATTATAGTATAGTACTTATAAAAGGGAAAGTCTATTATAGCTATCCTTTATAAGAGTAGAGAATATATTATCTATTTTTTCTTTGTTTTATAGAGAAATTAATAAAGGCTCTATTAGTATTAAAGGCTATTCTCTCTATTTTATATAAGAATTCAGCTAGGAAGCTACTAGAATATTAATAACAATAGGGGAATTAATAGTAGTCTATTATTATTAAGTGCTTTAATACTCGTCTAATTTCTAGTCTTAATAGTTAATATCTTATTAGTATCACTACTGAACTTACTAGTGCTATAAATCTTATATTTAAATATTATAGCTATATAAGATTATAAGTAAGTAGTCTTAAGGCTAGTGTAGTTATTATTATAAGGCGTCTATAAGAACTTAGTATTATACTAGCTATTCTTATTTAAAGATAACTTTATAGTTTCTTAAATAAGTAATTAAAAAAAAAGTATAAGTCTATAGACGCTTATTTATAGTTAGGTTTAATATAATATAATAAGAAATTACCTTACTAAAAGTGCTATTATATCTCTTAACTAAAACAGAGGTTAGTAGATAATAAAGTAAAAGTTTAAGGAAAAAGGAAAAAGACTTAAAAAAAGAAGAATTAATAAAATAATATCTATTAGCTTTAAAGTTAAGAAGTATTAGTAATTAGTATAATAGGCTATTTTAAGAGAGAGTTATTATAGTAGTAAGAGATTTACTTTTAAAGAGCTTTATTAAGTCTAAATATTATATATCTTATATAAGACTTAGAAAAGAGCTTTTACTTAAGCTTATTCTTTTTTTTAAGTAGTAAGCTTAAGGGGTAGTTTAGCTATAGTATCTTTATATATTTTCTTATTATTACTAAAGCCTTTCTTAGAATTTAAGGTCTTTATATTAATAGTATTTATAGCTAGAGTTACTATATATTAAGTATATAACATAAAGTGTTAAAAGAAAGCTAAAAGAGTTAAAGTATATAGTATTTTAGTATATATAAGGAAAGTATAAGATTAAGAGAGAATAATAGGTAAACTCAAGTCTACTTAGTAAGAAGTAATATCTATTATAGTAAGTTAAGTTAAAGATCTTAAAGGTTTAATAGCTCTAGCTAAGGCTTTATATTATATAGCGTAGATAGTTTATTTAGTTATCTATCTTTAGTCTTTAGCTTAAATAGCTACTACCTACTTTTTAAGAGTATTATAGCACCTATATTTTAAGTATAATTAGCGATATAGTTTAAGTAAAAGCTTATCTTAAAGGTTTATTTATAAGATAGTCTTATTAAATATTCTAGTAGTTTAAGCTAGTGTTTAAAATTAGTAATAAAATTCCTAAAAGCTTATAGATAGCTTTATAGTAAGTAAGTTATAATTATCTCGTATAGTTTATTATTTATTAGGATTTATAAGGAAAGAGACTACCTTCTTAACGAGATCTTTAGCTTTTATTAGAGTATTATTATTATTAAAAGTCAGCTCTAAAAATATAAGCTTAAGGTAAGTTTTAGCTATACCTTTAGTTTAGTTCAATAACTAATCCTTCTTATAGTTAGTATCTATAAAGTATAAGGCTTAACGTTAAAGGGTATTTTATATTTAAGCTTCTTATAACCTTAAGTTATATTTGACTTTATTAGATAGTCGATTTTAAAGGTTAAGGATCTTTTTAATATATATAGTAACTAATATTTAAGAGAAGCTACTAAGGGTAAGCGATATTTTTATAAAGGTTTAGTTTATAAAAGAGCTATTAACATAAGAGTCTAGAGGCTTAAAAGTAATAGAGTAAGCTTAATATAAGTTATTCTTGTAAAGGTAACGTAGTTTAGCTTTATACTATACTTATATATTTACTATTTTAACTTATAGACGTTTAATTTTAGTAGTAAGAGAAGAGAAGGGAGTTATATTATTTTTATAAGCTTATACTTTTATATAAAGCTATACTACTTTTTTAAGAAGTCTTAAGTGTGCTATATTACTACTTTTAGTGACGTGTTTATTAGCTTATTCTTTTATATCTTACTAGAGAGCTTTACTTTTTACTTTTAAGCTCTTTAAAAGGGGTATTATCTTTTTTAAGGCTTAAGTTATAATAAAAGAGTTTAAGGGAGCTAAAGGAATTAAAGAGAAAAGAATTAAGGTTAGTATAAGTAAAGAGGATACTATTCTTTAAGTTAAGCTTAGTATAAGCTTTCTTTATATTAACTTATACTTAAATACTATAATATTACACCTTATAGTAGTATATTATAAAGGAATTTAAGAGGAGGATATTTACTATCTTCTTAGATATAAAAAAGAGAGCTTTAGATAATATAACTACTAGTATTATAAAGATAAGATATCACGTAAAGTACTGCCTTATATATTAATTAATAAAATATAAAGATAAAAGTCGTCTCTTAAGAATCTAAAGCTATAGAAAAGAGAGAGGCTTAAAGGCTCTTAAAATTATATACTTGAGAAAAGAGGCTAGCTAAGGTACTTCCTAAAGGGGATAGCTATAGCTGTAGCCGAGCTAGATAGGGGCAAAAGGGGTATCTCTATACTTTATATACTACACGGCGTCATAAATATAATATTAGCTTTTATAAGATAAATATTATAAATAGTAGTTAAAAAATAAAGTAAGATTATACTTAGTTTATTAGTCTATTCTTAGTAACTACCTCGTTTCCTTATAACCTTTAAAACAGATAGCTGTTTTAAGTTATTAAAACGGACTAGCGTCCGTTTTAAGCTAGCTTCAACGCACGCGCGTCAGTTAGTAGTTTACCAAGAACAGGAAAACTATTGACTACACTGATTGAGCTGTGATTAAAAGCTATAGTTCAGCTACTATGGCGGAAACAATATACCACTTTACCACCAAGACCTCCTGGTTACTTCCTTCTTTTCATAGCTGTCTGTAACAACGAAGCCAATATTTGGGAGCTGTGGAAACTTTACTATGGAGATAACCACTGGATTTGAAATTTCGAATCATTGGATCAGGAACCAAGAGGTACCGTACAGACTTTCGAGGGTTACCCAAGGTATGTACAGCGGGAGAATGTCGATGAGATATTGTGTTTGGAGATATCCTTCAGAGGCTCAGAGGCGATGTTCTACCTTGAACATGCATGGTTTGCTGTGGGGATTCAGCAAGTCATAATGTTGTACGACTCGGTACAGCAAAGGATCATATAGCAGTACAAGGTTCATTGAGTCTGGGTCAAACACAACTTCTGCAAACCTTTGAGGATACTGAAAATTGAGCAAATGAGGGGAGCACAAAAAGGTGGCGTTTGAATAAACCCCTTGAGATAACAAACGTGCGGGTGCGGATTTCACGGAGGTGAAATCGCCACCACCCAGCTGGGCCTCGAAGAGGACGAAATTATAGACCGCGGAAACAGTTTCTCAGCTGCAGTGGCAATGGAGCAGCCTATAATACGCAGAACACGTAATTCCCTGGTGCCCTGGAGAATGAAGACAAACCAACGTCGAGGAGGCCAAGGGGAGCACAGAGCAAAGCAGCAGAAGAAGTCTGAAACCTCACCTATCTAACACAGGTTAAACACGATCTCAAGTTAATGGCAGTAAGTCACTAGGAACTTATTGAGAGACTAACTATAGTCAGTGGCTCGGCAAACACAAAGTAGTCTCTCTCAATGCATATTAAGAGATTAACGCGATGCTGCACCTATAACCAATAAGTATCACACAGCACCGGGCATACCTAGGTGGAGCATTAAAATTCATGGAACCTGCAATGGAATTTAAGTTCTATTACAGTAGCTCCTGCTAGGTAGACGACAGGGTTAGAAAGTAACATGCCTTTCGGAGCTTTCTCATGATACAGGAACCCACTGAGGTAAGGAATATTGCAAACAGCTCTTGTTCCTATACTTTTAATCTAGTCTGAGTAATCCTCAAACCCCCAACTGCCGCACCCGTCCAAAGTAGAGGATCAATAAACTCAAAGGACCAGGAGCTTGGGTAGAGCATTCCCAATGGTCACGAGTTGAAGAGCACAAGTAAATATTCCCTTGTGGATACAAATCCCATATCTCTACCCGTACAGGCCAAGAGTTGGTTATTTTTTGATATTCCATAAAAGATGGATGATATTGTAGGAAGCTCAGTGTCTACATCCACATTTCCAAACAGAATATGGTTTTGCAATGGCAAGACTGTTCCTTGACTGATCGGGCAGGTATTGAGATGAGCACACATCACAGTTTCGTGAGTTCCTTCCCCCAGAAGCAAAAAACAGGGTCCGTGTAATATATCTCATCATATCGAAATAGCATGTTGTTATTATCGGTGCCGATTTTCTAGGCGATACAGTAAGATAGCCGGCAGCCGAGGTCTAGCGTCGTGTGGGGGCGGGGAAGCTAGAATAGCGGGGACATAACTTTATTCATAAGTTCTTTATACTACCAGCGCTCTGGACTTCGTCTTTGCCCTTGTTGAGATATTCGCCTCTCTGGTATTCGCACGTTCTGAACCGATTGTTATAAGCTTGGCTACTTACACGGGAGGTTCATTTGACTCGACGATCCACATGTTCACAAGTTGACTCAGAATAGTAGGAACCACGCATCGAGTACTTACAATGATTTCTAAGATTGACGTCTCTGCCTATGTCTTAGGGGTAGGGCTCACAAAATTCATCAAGCCGCGAGGTTTGCGAGAATACCCGGAGATGGGCTATGAAGCTGGTGTCAAGGCGATGCTGGATGCCCAAATCAACTACGACGATGTTCAGACTGGAGTTGCCTGCTATGTATGGACTTCTTTTCGTCAAAATTATTGTATATCTATTCAGTTGAGTTTTGAGAACTAGAGACCATGTCGAAGGAGCCTATGTCCCAATTACCTGAACTACGGTACTGACCTTCCTGTAGTGTTACGGGGACACTACCTCCGGACAGAGAGTCTTCTACCAGTGAGTGTTTTTCAAATGTGATTGTCGTCATTCAATTCATCCTCAAAATGAGGTTACTTTACTTCGGTGCTATGTCAAGATTAATATAAAGCGCCTCAGTCTATCTCCCGACGTACTGACCTGGATTTGTCTAAACAAGATTCGGGATGACATCTATTCCAATCTACAACACCAACAATGCCTGTGCAACTGGCTCGACAGGGCTGCATCTTGCCCGCACCCTAATCAAGAACGGCGCCATAGATTGTGCACTAGTCATCGGATTTGAAAAGATGGAGCCAGGTAGCATCAAGAGCAAGTGGAGCGACAGACCAAGTCCAATGGGCTTATCCGCAAAAATGATGTATGAACTCAGTGGCAAGGAAAGAGGACCTCCGAATCCACAATACTTTGCCAATGCTGGTAGGGAATACATGGAGAAGTAAGCATGCGGTAACAGCCTTGTTTCTGAAGATTCGTACTTCGGGATTTGATTCTGCTGTGAATAAAGTTTCCGAGCGATCAATATCTGACAATCATTAGATACGGAGCAGAAGCCCAAGACTTTGCCGAAATTGGACGCATCTCACATGCACACTCGCAGAAGAATCCCTATGCACAGTTCAACCAGGCATATAGCCTCGAAGAGATTGAGAGCTCACCGATGATTCATTTTCCTCTGACCAAACTCCAGTGTAGTCCAGTAAGTAATGCACCAAGCGTCAATAACACAATGATAGAATGGCCCTCACTACCCTGCGAGTCCCCTCCAGGCTCGGTAATACTGCAGAAGTACAACTGACTATGATCAAAGACGTCAGATGGTGCTGGAGCTGCCGTCATAGTCTCGCAATCTTTTCTGGACGCCCGACCACATCTCAAGTCGCAAGCAATCCTCATCGCAGGCCAAAGCTTGATGACAGATACGCCAGAACTCTACTCCCACAGTGCCATGTCACTTGTCGGTTATGATATGACCAAGCGTGCAGCACAAGCCGCAATGAGGGAGGCCGCAGTATCGCCAAAGGATATTAAAGTCTGTGAGATTCACGACTGTTTCTCGGCCAATGAACTTATCCTTCTCGACGGGCTCGGATTCTCGAAGCCGGGTGAGGCTCACGAGATGGTACGTAACGGAGATATCACGTATGGAGGACAGGTCGTGGTGAATCCTTCTGGCGGCTTAATCTCCAAGGGGCATCCATTAGGAGCGACAGGCTTGGCACAATGTGCGGAGTTGACATGGCAACTGAGGGGATGGGCAAACAATAGACTGGTAGATGGAGCTACAGTAGCTTTGCAGCACAACCTGGGTTTGGGAGGCGCTGTCGTCGTGAATGTGTACAAGAGGGCAGATGGTGGGGTAAATAAGAAGTTAAGCGATCAGGATATCAAAGACAAGAGCTGGCTCGGGTACAATGCTGCTGTTGAGGCAAGGGGCATTAGTAAGGAGGATGCGGAGAAAGTTAGAAGTCGGAATTGTAAGAGCCAATGGGCTCTAGGTGACACAGAGCAGAGATTAGCAGCAAGATTATAAATGTTCTTAAAGATATATCTTAGTATATAAAGGCGAGCCGAATTGAAATCTGTCTAATTTAAAAGCTTAGTGAAAAATATTAAAACCTTCCTCTTTTTAAATACATGTATCTAAGGGACTCTATAATTAAATAAAATTCTCTCTAATATAGGTTAAATATTAATATTTTAATTTTAATTATATAGAATATCTAGATTTATTAACGCTATAAAAGCGTATAATAATTATTAAAGTCGAGGATCTTATTATAATAAACTCTTATTTAAGTAAATAGATAGGGTTTAATTCGGCTTATCTTTATATCTTATATTATATACTATAAAATAAACTTTTATTCTACTTTAGTTAGTGCCTTAGGCATTTAAGTAAGACTTTATATTATTAGTATTTTTATTAGTAAAACATTCTGGCGCCGGGTGTATATGCTATCCGCTATTTTCGCTATTTCCGCTATTTAACAGCCTCTTACGCCTAAAGTAGCCTTAAAATATAAGAGGCCGCTATACGTCGGCCTAAAAAATAAGAGGCTACCTTATACGCCCTAGGCGCCCTTTATAAGACCTACTTTTATATATAAGCTAGACCTAATTAGGAAAGGTATAATATTTATAACTAGAATTAAAAATTATTTTTATTTTTATTTTTAGATTTTATATTAACTAAAAACAGTTAGACTAGTATAGATTTTAACTAAGAATCTAAAAAGATATATACTTTCTGTGTATATCCTTAAAACTAGCTTCGCTAAAGCTCTTACGCTATAAATATCTACACTAAAAATTCGCTAGCGTGTTTTTTCAGCTCGATTTAGGTAAATTCTATATAAGAGTGAGCCGCCGCCTAGCCTAATCAGGCGATATAAGCCTAATAATACCTCTTATAAGATATACTCTTATTAGTATCTTTAGTATTCTTAGTATTATTAAAGCTTTTAGTAAGCTTACTAATATACCTTATATAATATAAAAAAATTGGACCTACTTTTATTTTATACACTAGTTCTAATTAAGCTTATAAGCACTTATAGCGCCTTAGTCGCCTTAGGCGCCTATATCGTTAATTTAAATTAGTATATATCGCTTTAAGAGTCACTAGCTATTAAATTAATTGATATATAACTTAGGCTAAAAATCGCGAAAATAGCGTCTACAGCGGCTAGCCGGCAGCTGCCTAAAGCCAGATCTTTTTACTGATATTATTATCTATAAGAACTCTTATTTAATACTATTATAAAAAATAAAGACTTTTTTCCTTCTGATTTTAACTTAAGTATACTCGGTAGGGTTTTTAATAAGAGCCGAGCTAACGTAAGTAAGTAACACTAGAAAATCCTATATTATAATAATACTACTTTTCCACTGAAAATCGATCATTTATAACTAATTTATAACTAAATTCAAATATAGCTAATAACTTATAATACAAATATGAAAACTAAAGGCTACTATAAAATCAATGAATATTACGCTAATCGACTCTCTAGCTATTATAAATAACTTTCCTAATAAATAAATCTCTTTAGAACTTAATAACGTAGTTACGTTATAAAAACAACTATCTAATATAAATAAAGAGCTTAAAATTACTCTAATCGATACTACTAGCGTATTTTAAGGTTAGGTAAAGCGTAGAGACTAGTGAAAAGCTCTAATTAGCTTAGAATATAAGATATTATTAGTAGAAGTGTTAGTATCGTACTAGTAAACAAATAATAAGTGTATATCGATATACATTAAAATCTAAGGTTCAGTTTAAAGGTGTTTAAAAGTGTATATTATAAAGAGTATCTAAAGGTTAGAATATATACTACCTCTTAAATAACCTTTAGTTTATATTTAAAAGAGGTCTATCTCTTAACTAAGATTACTTATACTCTTTAATTTCCTCTTATATTTCTATAATAAAGGTCTATAGACTAACACTAGTAAAACTTCTTTTAAAAACAAAAGGTTTCTAATAACTATAAAAAAAATAAAAGAGAGAATATAGATATAATAAAAGGAACTAAAGATATAATAAAGTAACGAATATATAACTTATATATATTAGTAGTTAGAATATCTCTAGTTATTATTTAAAAGTATCCCTTTTATAATATAAGGATATAAACAAATCGCAATTTATAACTAAACTATATCTTAAAATATAAAGAATATATATAAACTTGTAGGGAATTAAATAATATTATTATTAAGTTAATATAAGATTTTAAAAAGTTAAAAGGTTAATATTCTGTTTAATAGTAGTTAATAATATAAAAGTAAAAAATAATAGTAATAACTAAGTGATAATAATAAATAATATTATATTATATCTAAATTAAGCCTAAATCGTATACGTTTATCTATATAAAAACAACCTCTCTTTTAAAACTTTTTCTTTTCTTTATTAAATAATAATAATAATAATAATAACTGTAAGTTCAGAATTAATAGTATTTACCTTAAAGATTCTCGCTAACTAGGAGATTTCTTTAAAAGATATTAAATAAATTAAGTAATTTAAGAGTAAATATATCTTATTTTAAGAGCTAGCGTAGTAGTAAAGTTCTTTATTAATACTAATCAGTGCTAATTCCCTGTCTTTTTAGTGCCCTCTTAGCTATGTTTTATATATAATGTTATAAATGTGTTAATCGTTAAAAGAAGAGTAATTTAAAACTATATGAATTCTAAAGTTCTGTAAGCTTAAAATACTAGTATTATACTAAAAATAAAGATAAATACGAACTTATAAGTATTTCCTAATCTGAGTCTCTTTTATAACCTTTCTAATAATAACTCTCTGTGACTAATAAAAGTAAATCCTAATATATATAACTACTAAGTATTATACTTTTACTAATACTCTTACTAGTAAAGATATAGCTAACCTCCTTAAAGCTAGTACTACTCTTTAGAACGTTATTACTATTACTAAGGCTAATATACTAAAAGATATACTATTAGCTATAAAAGTTATATTAGTAAAAGTCTATATTATACGTAGTAAGATAGCTAAAATCACAGAATAAAATACTATAAATATTTCCCTCTTTCTTAACTAACTCCTTTACCTCCTTTTATTAGACGTAATCTAATAACTTATATTATAAAAGATACTTATAATATTATAAAAGTTAAGAACTATATTAAAAAAGTAAAAGGCTTTATTAGATAGTCTAGGTTTATTAAAGCGCTATATAGAAATAAGTACTTATAATACTCTTAAAAGCAGTTTAGAGAAGAGTTTAAATAATAGTTCTAGTAGCTTTAGTTTTAATAGTAGTTTTAGTAATAAAAGTAACTTAAGTACTTGCCTTTCTAGCTTTACTATAATTAATTAGCCTTTTAAGGTAAGAGAGAGTAGTAATAATACTCTAACACTTAACTTAACCTCTTTACCTTCTTTTCTTTAAAAAGAAAGAGAAACTATTAATAGTAATCTTAAAGAGAATAATATATAAAAGTAAAAGGTTCTTAGCTTTATTTTAGATTAGTTTTATAGTTAGTTCTTTATAGTAATATCTTCTTTATACTTTTATATAAAAGTAGCCCTTTATAGTAAAACCAGTAATTAGTTCTTATTAAGATATTATTATAAAGCCGCTTATTAGCGCTTTAAATTAAAAGGTAATTATCTTAAAATAAAAGTTATTCCCGTTATAGTATCTTACTTAATTATAAAGAAATAAACAAGTAATAAAAGAGAGTTATAAGGAAATTTATATAAAAAAAACAAGTAAACGCGTTAAAACGCCTTTATTATAAGTTTAAATTAACCTTATTTAACTTCTTTACTTATCTTTTTACCTTTACTATTAACTAGTTAGTATTAATAAACTCTTAAAGAGCTTTATTTAAATTAACCTTTATTATAACGTTAGTAAGGTTACTTGCTTTATTAATCAATCATGTCTCTATTAGTTTTTTACACTTATATAATTAACGAATTACTATATTATTAATTATTAAACACTTCTCTTTTATAATACTAAGTTTAATAATATATTTATAAAGAGATAAAGAATCAGTATAAACTATAGTAAGAAGCCTTAAGAAGCCTAGCTTATTAGTTACTATATTAACTGTAGTTACTAGAGATATTAATATATCAATCCTTACTATTATAATATATAATTTTAAAGTAAGTACTACTTAAGTAACTCTTTTATACTTTATAAAACTTATATATATTAAGTTATTAAAAAGAGAGAACCCTTAAAACCCCTTTAATTTAGTTCTAATTATTAGTATAAAACTAATCTAAGAGCTAAAGTCTTTGTTATTTATAAAAGATCTATTAATAAAAACATAGATTTTCGTAAAACTTAAGTCTATAAAAATATACTATAAACTTCTCTTTAAGTTCTCTATTTACTACTTAAGATATAAATTTAAAGCCTTAACGTTATTACGTGTTAGATTTTAGTGCTATACTACTATTAACAGGTTAAACGTAGCTTTTAGCTAACAAATCGTTATAAAGTAAGCTTTATAAGCTCGTTACTTTATATAAGCTTTCTTATAATCTCCCTTAATAACGTTAACTTATTTAAGCCTCGCACCTTAACTTTTTTAAGATATATAAAAGCTATTCTCTTTTATATAAATAGTATACTTATTAAACGTTAGTAATTTAGATCGATTTAAGACTTATATTAGTTTAGTTATAAAGTTAGCTTAATTAATCGCTTTTTATTTCTTTACTAAAAATATCTTATCTTTTAAAATAAAAGTATTATCTGTTTATATTTTTACGATTTTAAACTTATTAGTTTTTTTAGTACTTACTAAAAGGTATAAGTCGTAAGTTAATATTTCTATTTAAAGGCTTTTTATATAATACTTATAATATATATTAAACCAGTAGTTTTTAGACTTAAGTATACTATATAACAAAAGCACTACTATAAATATCGTTTTAAGTAAAAACTCGTTAGTAATCTCTTTTAGTAGCTATATAAATATCTTATAAAAAAGCTTTATTACCGCTTAAGTATAAGCTTAAGTAATATCTTATATTATTAGCTTTAATTTAAAGTTATTTTAGATACG